CAATATATATCAATATATTCTCGGTACGGAGTAATAATTCTTCCCAGAAGTCAAAAATTGTGGAAAAAATGCATTCAACCCCGGAATACCCTTTAATCATCGATAATAACTCATCAGCAATCAGGAACTTTAACTATTGAGATGGAAAAAAAAACGATAATAAAAGGCTGGGATCTTCATTAGGCGATTTTAACGATTGGGAGATGAAGTAAGTGCGCGCGAAGGGATTTCAATGATTAACTTGATCAAAAATACTTGTGGTGAGGTACAAGTCGAGGTGAATTTATGCCGCCAATCCCGATGGAGTACAGCGCATAAACCCATAGTCCGCGGACCCGCGGTCTCGCTAATCGCGTAAGAAGAAGTGAAAACAGGTACAGTTGGTATTCTGAGAAACATAGCGGCGTACATCCCAGGATTATCTTACAAGATGCATCATACATACATTTCCTCTCTTGACTGGGTATTTCTCACGGCTCCAGCCACTTCCGCTCGTGATATTTCTTGTCCGCGAGATGACGTCTCGGACGCGTGCCAACGTATGACGCTCACAATTTTTCAGAAAAAATTGAAAAAAAAAAAGTGGAGATGGGGTGGAGGGGGCGGAGAGGAAAAATATAACCGTGAGAATAAAGGGACGTTAATGCTCCGTATATTCGTGTCGCGGATCCGCCCTCTACATCTCGTAGGCGTCGGCGCCATTACAATAGCCACAAGTCACTGAAGGAGAGGACTAGCAATTAGCAATTAAACCAATAACTCTGCAATTGGTGATTCCATCAATGCTATATGTCGTTCCCATCGCATCAAGCATGAGGGAAAGATACTTGCGGCGGCTTTTTTACTTTCAGCGCATTCTCTTTCATCTCGATTATCCTTCAAGAATGCCTCTCAGGGAATGTTTAATGTCTTTACGCGGTATCAATTAAATTCAATAACTTGAGTGGTCGAATAGCACTCAACTTATACATCATTGCCAGAACATATTTTTCTATTTCTCAAATTCAAATCATTGAAAAAACATTTTTTTCAAGTTATCCCACTCAACGCCGAGTGGGTGGACTTTACGATGCAAACTCACCCCATAAATTATCCGCATAATTAATATTTATTGATTGTCTGCAACAAATATCGCGCACGCGCCATTACGAAGCGTCGATTGATTCCACACGGTGCAAGCAGTGGATAACATCGCTTAATAGACGCCATATTGTTTATAACGACGTAATAAATATGAACGCGAAAAAATGGAGGGAATAAATTGTGAATCGCCCCCGCTGTCGGCGGCTCTTGTATACCCACACCGTAATCCTCTCTTTCTCTTTCCTTTCATTCGCTTCCATTTGGGAATGAAAATTGATGTACGTTAATTGCATTGGAAATTCCGATTATACTAATCTAATTAATT